TTTCTTATTGTTACTTTGCTTCAGTTTTTAAGGTTCACTGAGTTTGACATTGAAACGTTGATTTTACATTATACCCATATTTTGAAGACTGGATGTTTCCTGTGCTTACCTTAAGCTGAGGTTAAAAGATGGGCTTGTAAAACTTTGTCTCATTACAACTTTCTAACTTGCCAGCAACACTTTATAAGGTTACACATCTCACTGGTGTTACAACACACACAAAATTAATTTTCAAAAAAGCAGGCTGCTTCTTGTGTCCAGTAGGTGCTTTGTCTTTTTTTGTGACAAACGTTTTTGTATCCATAGATGCTGAAGTTTTGAATGAGGATGTCTTGGGGAAAGCAGTTTTTTTTCTTTTGTTTTTATTTTTAAAAGGGGAAATGACCCGCAAACCTACTGAGAACTGATTTAAACAAGCAATCTAATTTAAGATAAACCAAACTTTTCACTTGAAGTACACGGTTAATTGAGCGCAGTAAGAGTTTTTTTTCCCCACTGACGCACGTTGTTGATTTGCCATGAATGCCACATCAGCAGCATCTGCTTTTTATTAGCATTAGCGCACAATGATACAATTATGATTCATACTCCTCCTATAACAGTGTCCATACATTATACATCATGCTTAGTCTTGGGTTTTTCTGCTATTTTAAGAAGAAAAAGAAATGTTTTACTACGGTTTATTTATGTTTATTATCCCTGTTTTATCTAAAGGCAAATAACTGGACGTTAGTAACCAATGAAATGAAATATAAAAATAGCATTTCTGTGGGAAACGTTTGCTTTGCTGTGTCATTATGGACAAGAAAGTGAAACCTGAGTGTAACAGAGTTATTTTGTGAATAGTAAATATAAAGTGTGCATGGACAAAAGTAACCAATAGGCGGTACTGTGCACTGTGCCATTCTTCATGGAGCTTTCTCCATCTCCAGCCCTGAGGACAACAACGTATCTCTGCCTTGGTTTGCTCCCTAATTGACCTAAATACAGCATCTCTGCGGTCCCTCAAGGCAGACTATCGCACAGCCCACACGAGAGCATACAAACTACGAGACCGTGTCCGGGTATTTCCTGGAGTAATTCCTATTCGCCTTTTGCCCTCAGCTCAAACCCGAAACGAATTTGCTTTGTGTATCTCTCGTAACTGTAGCAGGCTGTCCTCACATGGACTGCGTCGGGATGGTCTGCGCGCAGAAGACTCGTCTGGCCCGAGATAAGACGCCTTCCCAGGAATGACAGTATAAAAATTTACGTGTGGTGGATTTTAAAAGGGTGTTTTTTTTGTAACTGGCGGAGTCATAAAGTCATCATGCTGGATGATAAAACACCGCGACTGAAATCCGGTCCTCCATCGAGAGGTTCATCTTTTTACATTGAGAATTTGCTGGGAACTACAGGAAGACGTTCTTCAGCCGAGGAGCGAGCGGAGACTCCGAGCTTCAAACTTACTGGTCACGACCCGGGGATGTGTCCGGGTCTGAAAACGAGACGTCTGAGCGACACTGACAGGTCGGACGGGAGCGGAACATTTGCAAACACAGCGAATGGCTGCTCGAGAAGTGAGTTTGCTCCTGACCGTCCTTTTCGTCCCATCGAAAAGGTTACTGAAAATAACAAATGTTCGTTTTTGTTTCGACGATTTGTTCCTTGTTTGTCCCTTACAAGAGTCGGGTTAAAATATATAACTCATTTTATTATTGATAAACAAACATCACACAAACCCCCACATCTAACATTTATGATTTATGCATCTCGCTTTGGGGTCTCAATGGGGCAAAAGTGGACATGACGCATGGTCAGGGTTCACTCTCCGATTATCAGCCGTGTAGAAGCCAACAGCATTTGGCATCCACACAACGATCTCACAACAATCTCCCTCTTGTTCTTTAAATAGACCCGCAGCGAAGAGCTGATGCGTATTTATAATCTTGGAGAGGACAGACAGCATGAATGCGAGCAATTCCCCGCTGTGCACAAATCTGACAGTGTGTAGGATGATTTAAAGTAACTTTTTTTTTTCTTTTTTCACGACATCCTTTGCAGGGCTTCTTTGCAAAACCAGCCGCTCGCACGAACACGTAGACCCCGTGCTAAACAGCGAACGGGATTCCCCAACTTTAACGGGAAAGGCGGAGGAGAATGACAAACCGGCCGAGAAGGAAGGCGACGGTCTGACAGATGAGAAGGAAGAGGAAGACACGCGCTCCTCTTGCGTCTCTCTAGGGGACAGCTGTGACACAGGTGAGCTCAAAGTACACGTAATTCATTAAAAAGACACACAAAAAACCCAAATAGTCTTGTGCTCTGCTATAAGCACGCATGCGCCGTTCTAGTACACACTCACTCAAGCGGAATTTTATTTTTTCGATTTTAAAAAAGCAGCATTTGCAGAGCTTCTTGGTTAGGTGCATTTTCTTTCCGATAAGGTGCATTGACAGCAGCAGTGACCCAAGTTTTCAAAAGTTCGCATTAGAGAGCAGGGGTGCAGTTAGCATTTCTTGGGTCTGAGGGCCATACCCTGCTCTGCCAGTTACAGCAGAAGAGGGCAACATGTTTGATTTGATTTGATTTTTATTTTGTTGTAGAAATTAGATAAAAGCAAAGGATGATACATTTAGTAACTGAATGGAGACATTACATAACGGGTTAAAATACAAATATTAAACTTTATATCTAAATGCTATATGAACATTAAATTAGCTTAAATATTGCAAATTGCTTAATAGCACCGCATAGTTCATTGTATTACATAGCAGTACTGCCTATTTGGAGATATTCACCTGGAGACTTGTTAGCATGAATTTGATCAATTAACAGCTACATGGTCTGTAAATGCAACACTAGAAATATACATAGAATGTTTACTGTTGCGATGTGTGCTAAGAAACTTTTAAATGAAGACACTGCTTCTTCTTGGCCTCAGGTGACATCACAGTGGTGCGAAAGAAGAAGACGCGCACTGTGTTCAGCCGAAGCCAGGTGTTCCAGCTGGAGTCCACCTTCGACCTGAAGCGTTACCTGAGCAGCTCGGAGCGAGCTGGGCTGGCTGCGTCGCTGCAGCTCACCGAGACCCAAGTAAAGATCTGGTTCCAAAATCGCAGGAACAAGTGGAAACGACAGATCACGGCAGATATAGAAGCCAGCAGCACCACTGCACCGTACGCCGCCCAGAGGGTGGTTAGAGTTCCCGTGTTGTATCGCGAGAGCGTCACTACCCCGCTGACACTGACAAACCTGCCCCACGTGTCACATCCAGTAGTTGGCTTCTCTAACTCTGTTAACTATCCGCTGTCTGGCCACTTCACCCATCCGGTGTCATTCATAACGCCACAGATGACCGGGCTGGTGTGACTTAAAGAGTGGAAGAGATCTCGTATACCTGTGACTCACATGAATCAAATAATGATGCTGCAAAATGTTCATGTTAGAATATTCAGTAAAGTTCATCCCTGCAGTGCACTGAGCATTGTCATCCTCTGTTGAAATGTTTCCTTTGGATGTTTTCTGGAAGTACATTTAGATCAAGGTGCCCGTGTCTACTTTCAGCATTAAACTTCCTCATCATTAGCAGAACCTTTATCAATTTATTGTAAGCAAAGGTCATTTTTTAAGATTTAGTACCAAATTTAGCACTACCAGGAATAAATTAGTATTACTAGAAATATGGAAATTGTGATGGATATTTTTGGACCATTCAAGCTGCCCACCATCCTTCTTTGTGCTTTACTGAGGATATTTCACACACATAGTCACACAGTTTCCAACTAAAGCTTTATTTTGCGATGATTTCTGTCACTGGAAAATATAGGGGTCCACGTACTTGGAAGAGTCAATATGTTTATGGTGTGTAAAGCGATGTAAAAAAAATTAAAACAAAGAAAAAGATACTTTGGGAATTCATTAATTTGTAAATGTATAAGAAAAATCTGGAAATGAAAACACAAATTACTGTAAACAATCAGGTTACACATATAAAAATCATCTGAGGACAAAAATCAGGACCAAAAGTTCATTTTTGTATATTTTTTTCTATACTTTATGCTTTCAACTTATATTCACATGCTACAGAAAAAGTTTTTCTTTGCACTGCTGAGTTTCCCATCACACTCATCTTCTCACGTGGCTTTAGACTGTTCAATTCTTTCTGAAATTTGAACCCACACACGTGACCTATGAGTGCTAAAATGTAGCTCATTTATGAAATAAAAGCCAGTATGGTGTTTGTGATATTGTGACTTTTGATAGCTGTTAGCAGGGGTAGGCTATTAGCAACACTGATTGACTGACACTTTTGTTTTTTGTTGTTAATTTAAGATGATTTTAATACAGAGTTTTGTACACTTCTATGTTCACATGTGAATAAAATTTTATGCACAAGGCGTTTCGTGGTTTCTTTCCTGTTTCTTGGCCATCAGCTGTTTATTTGGCATCTTTATTTGGAATTTAGGTTGTATGTGGGTTTCAAAATGTAAAAAAAAACCAACTTATGCCCAAGGGGCAATTAAGAAAGAAAAGAGGGCATCACATGAGATGAATAGTTTTTGATAGTGTGAGTAACATTTTCAAAGAAAATAAAAAAGAACAATGAGGTTAAGCTGAGATATGCAATGTTGGAGGCGAGATTAGAACAGCTTATTGTGTTAAACTTGGCTATGTTATGCGCCCCCTTAACCCATTGTCGGGTTACATAATTCTCATGCTGCCAGTAGTTAAAATGCTGTCAAAATGACATGTTAATGTTCTTTACAGAGATACTTTAAAAAGTATTTAGTATCTAAAATAAATAAATACATAAATAATAAATAAATAAAACAACTGGTAAGGTTTCCAAACTCTTAGTTTTTGCACACTTCCTGGGAAAGCAGGCTGCAAGAAAGCGCACAAACCTCCAATATGGCAGCCAGACGTAAATCTGCATCCCGCCCTCATCTGCCCCCTCAACCTCGCCAATCAAAAGCTGCTAAACCGCAGTCTTCCGGGTCGTTGATTTACTGCGCACCGGCTCCTCTGTGCTCTAGTGGCAGCCGAGGAGCAATGGTGCTCGGAGCGTCCAGAGACGTCGGTGTTTCGGGTTTCTCGGAGGAGCAAATGAAATGCCGGGGAATATGAGCAAAGAGGATGCCCCCAGTCGGAGCACTTGTTTGACCTTCACAATTGACAACATCCTCAACCTGAGGCCGCAAGAAAGTGGAGATTTGGACTGTTCAAACGGGCAGAAAGACGGTGGATGTAAGAATGTTTTGGAGGAGCGATGTGAGGATGTGTGGGACGTCCGAAGGACAGAGGAGACAGGTAACTCTGACGGATATACCCAAATACCATATCTGTAAATTTCATAGAATTAAAGGGAAATTTTAGGCTAATTAATCTGTTTAGAAGCACAACGATAAAGATCAAAATATTTTTTTTTAAAAACGCTCAAAGTTCAAATTATTTGTGCGAAAATGCAGAAGCGCTTACAGGACGCCGGTTTGTGTCTGCTTTACTGGAATGTTGCTGAGCTTGTTCGCAGGTGTTTTTACGTTTGCCTTTACCGCTGCACCAAAGCACATCTTGTCGCTCCGTTCACAGTGAAGCCCAGAGTTCAGCGCGGGGGAAACACACCGCCGCTCACCGCTGGATCCTGTCCGCAAAATGAGTGCAGCGCTGAGGAGCCACAGCAGCAGCAGCACCACCACCAACAACAACAGCAGCAGCAGACTGTGGACTCCAAAGCCATGGTAAAGAAGAAAACGCGCACCATCTTCTCCAAGCGACAGATATTTCAACTCGAGGCGACTTTTGACATGAAGCGCTATCTGAGCAGCTCGGAGAGAGCGTGCCTCGCGAGCTCCCTGCAGCTCACGGAGACCCAGGTGAAAATCTGGTTCCAGAACCGCCGCAACAAGCTCAAGAGACAGCTGTCCACGGACATGGAGGGCCCGCTGGCCGCCGATCACTTTACAGAGGCAGGAAAAAACGTGCAATTACCAACTTTTTACAAAGACAGCAGCGTGCTGGGCGGATGTTTGTTACCCATACCGTTCCCTGTCGTGTACCCGACGGCAAACGCCGCGCCTTACATTTACTTCTCTAACACTGGCAAATACTTTGGCCTCTTTGATGCAGACTGTTGAGTTGTCTCTTGGGTGCGTGGACACTCCGACTTACAGTCAGCCCAAATTTTTTTTGCATGATACGTCTGATCCTTTTTTCATTTTTAACTTTTTTTTTAAATGAGTTGTCAACATATCAACTAATTCAACGTGCATGCGCCACTTTTTGGTTTATCACTATTATTATTATTATTATTGTTATTATTATTATTATTATTATTATTATTATTGAATTTTATATACAGAGTTTATCATCTTGAATTGTGCATGCGTTCAAATCCTCGGAGCAGTTTTCCTTTGCGCAGTAATGTCATCTGAAAGAATGTACCATACGTTAAACTCCTGATGCTGCATCAGCCTTACTACCCTGCAATAATACTTTCTGTTTGTGTGTGTTCATTGTTTTTCCTGTGGAGCAACACTTGGTTTGTATTTATATGGCCTTATCATTGTTTAGTTTTTTTTTAAAAACAACTTTTATCTTTTGTTTTCACTTTTATAAGACTGTTAAACTGTGAAGACGGTTATTCTACGACGATCATATTTTGCAATAAAACGTGTAACATTTGCAGTTTTAAATGTGTGTTGACTTGTATCAGGAACAGCAACACAAAAAACCCCAAAACAAACAACAACAAAACCCAACAGATAACACCAAAACACGCCCAGATTGCATTTTTAATAATCCTTTATTTATTTATTAACTCATACTCCTACTTTTCCTTTCACTTTGTAAGAGTCGTTTCGCATTATTTATTCAGCGTTAGATCGTATTTAAAGATTATAGTAGACTGTCAGGACTTTATCACTGCAGGGAGAAAAATAAAGTTCAATAACGGAGAGCTGAGAAATCCGGGGCACACTATTTGCTTTACAGTGAACGAATTGTAAATTTAGTAGTTAAACCAACTTATGATTATACATTTTGAACCGAATTAACTAATGTACCACAAAAAAAAAGAAGAAGAAAAGAATCGTCTGTTTTTCTTGCTCATTAAGTAAATTAGCTGGTTAGTGTTTCCTTTGCTATCCCTAATATTAAAAGCAGAGACCATAAGCTGAATAATGATCACCAGTTATCACCTCTGTGTTGACGTGCTGCTAAAAGTATTTTAAAATCTGCAGAAGCTTTACAGTCTCTGTTAGTGCCTTCTTGTGTGTTCATTCCCCCTGTTATTCCGCAGAGCTGTCAGGAAGCTCATTTTGTCTCTCAGAAATGTGTTTAAACAGATGACAACTTCTTGGTGTTTAATTAAAAGCTCTGTAACAACTCTCCATTGAAAAATCCAAATCCTAAATATATAAAAAATATTTATATAAATTGAATGATTTATTAGTTAGAAGAAAATTTAAAGTTGTAGAAGCCTGTCAACCTTCAAATAAATTGTCTTAATTTAGACTGATATGCTACAGAAAGTAACCAAGGAAGAGAAGTTTATTTAGAAAGCACTTTCCAGAGACAAAGTTGAACAGTGTTTGACATCAAATATAAATAAATAAATGCCTGTAATAGCTGTAATGCAGATTTTGTAAGTTCTGAAGTTAAGCGATGAATGAATATTATCAAATTCATATTTGAATGAATCACTTTCAGCATAAGACACAGTATTAGTAAATATTACAAATCGCTGAGATGAGTAAAGACCTGTTTCTGGTAAGAATAAGCAACTTTTTCTGTTCAGTTTCAGCACAGATGTGAAAAAAAAGAGGAAACAAAAAGAGAATATTCAAAATGCTCACAGAGATATCTTATGTGTTGAGCCTATTTTCTTTCGTTTTATTATTCTGAAATTAATTTACCATCAAATGAAAACACTGAATTAGAAAAAACAATTGCAAACAACGTAAGTAAGCATATAAAAATTGCAGGATTTTCTATTAAACCAAAGAGTTGTTTATTTAAAAAAAAACCTTAAAAAGTTTACTTAGAAAATCTATCTATCTATCTATCTATCTATCTATCTATCTATCTATCTATCTATCTATCTATCTATCTATCTATCTATCTATCTATCTATCTATCTATCTATCTATCTATCTATCTATCTATCTATCTATCTATCTAGAGCCTACAGTGATGTACAGTTAGGTGTGAATAAGGAACAGTCCATTCGTACGGCAAGTTTGACCAAATCTGTGAGTTTTATAAAGTTTTCTTAATTTTGTAACAAAGTTAAAGATTTTTCTCATACAGAAGATGTAAGTTTATGAATTATGTATTTCATGGAAAATAAAAAAAAGAGAAAGTTTGTAAGTGAATGAGCAAATCAAAAGACTAAAAAGTGATTATTAAGACTTGGCTCCTGCACAGTTACGCCCTGCAGCACTTGTTGCCGATCAATTTTCCAGCTTGCTGCAGCAACACACATATTTTCAGACCACACGAGTTAATCTGGGCCAAATCCTTTCATAAAAAACAAACACACCACGATTTAGGTGGCCTGGAGTAAGATGCCACCCTGATATGTTCCCATTGCATCCGCAGTGTTATAATGCCACATAATACCGCCACAGACTGTAAAGTTCAACAAGAAAGAAGCTCTTTTTATTCTTTACAACGGAGAAAGAAAGATTTATTTTGAAGTCTTGAGCATTTGCTTAACTTTTTTGGGAGGTTTATAAGTGACAAGCAGTGGCTCCACTATCTGTACAGCAGAGCAAAGCATCTGTGCATAAACAGTGAGAGAAATGTGTGTTTAGGTAGACTTGCATCACTGCTTCTAGAGAGATTTTTCCTAAAGGGTCCAGCAAGCTGCACTTACTCACCGTTTCCGGGTCACTTCCCCCTTCAGAGATGGAGCCTCTTGCTGCTTTCTCCCTGTCACAGCCATTCAAGGCCCCATCGCTGTTAACCTGTTCATTCACCCTTTTAGTCTGCCTGCAAATCTGCTGTTTTCTCTGCTAAATTCCTGTCTACGATTACTGTGTATGTTGAGTTGTACTGTAGCTCATAACTGTTGCTCTGATGTCAAGTTAAAGTACCCAAATGCACCTTTGTGTATTTAAACTAAAGTAAATGATGCTTGTGTAAAATGCATTCACTACACTGCAATTTTACAATTTCCTTTATAATTTAAATTCTTAACATATTTAGAAGTGACAGTGAAAAAATGCTTCTCAGATTCCACACAGTTGGATTTAATTTAGCAACTAACCAGCTATTAAGAACATTTTATAACATATAATAATATATCTCAGGCAACTTTTACAGAGATCCCATAATCTGAATAATTAAGGATCTATGCAATGATATGGCAGTGCAGTCAGTATACAGTAAGCTTTTATGTTAATGAAATAAAGAAGAGATTTTAAACATGGAAGAATTCCCCTTTAAAAGTTAAAAAGAGCAAAAAAAAACCTCACAAAAACTCAAAGCTTTCTAAATTTTTTATGCAATATTAAACCTCACGTCAGAGTGTATTTCTTTTTTTTAAACAGATTGATAGACACCTTTACTTTTAAATGAATCACACAATGAAAATTAAACGTGGTGATATTCCACCCACGGCTCCACTTTACTGTATGTCAAACCAAGTGTTAGCCCTAAAATGAGGGAATATAGATGGTGTTACTCGTGTGTTTAGAAATGAGTCTATAGAGTTTGTAGATTAGCTCAACAGATGCAAATGCACAACTGTGCAGTGCTAAACGTTAGATGAGATATTCCATAATTTTAATTATATGTCTAGTGTCTCGGTTTAAAAATCCAACATAAATCAAAGGTACATTTTCACATATGATGGAAAACATTAGTTTCTGTGTGCTTCTTAAGTGATTAAATCAAAACAAAGGCTTATTTAACTCAATTGTTTTCGTATAATAATAATAATAGTTTTGTATTTCTTATCGTTGTGTCTGTTTTTCGGTGGTGGATTAACGGTTTTGACTCCGCTTGAATGACAGATTGTGTGCAGGCGTGACCACTGCTTTAGATCAGTGTAAATTTGGGGGTGAAATATGTGGCTGCTATGGTTAAAAATTAGTGAAAGGCACAAATGTCCTCATAAGTATGGTAGCACAGACTTGTTTATGCAGAAGTGCCCGCTTGGCGTGTCTTCGTGCGTATCTGAGAGATGGGTGTGTGGGTGGTGGTGTCGGTGGTGGGGGGATCGGGTGGGGTTTACAGTCGCCAGACTTCCTGACTCTCCCACTGTCGGACACTTGTGAGCGCAGTGTTGGCTCTTTGTGTCTCAGCACTCTGCTCTGCAACCACAAGGTTCAAATGACCCCACCGGCTGCACGCAGTCTGCCCTGAGCCCTGAGACGAAACCCCACAGCCTCGCCTGTCAGAAGTGAAAAAAAACCCCACTCAAATCTCAAAGTGATCACAAAGAATGACAAAGTTAAGACTCCATATGCACACACTTAAGAGCTATCAATGACTGGCGAGCATTGGCGGGTACTCTAATACATGCGATTGACTAACTGCCAACAGTGGCAACAAAGACTGTTTTTCGATAAAGAAGCAGAGCTGCGAGTTTGGTAGAGTTACCCAGGGCTGATGTGCACCTCAAGGCCTTCTTGAGCTGTCAGCACATTTCTCCAGTGTGACCATCAGTAACCCGCACAGCACATGGTTTCAATTCTGTGCTAAATCTATGAATGCCGAGTGCTATTGTTTGAAATCCTTGATCGTGAATTGCAAGTGATCATGTGGTTCCAGAGGATGATTGTGGTGGGAGTTTCTCTCATGCCATCTAGCATGCAAATCTGGAGATGTGACCCGCCTGCTATGGCTTCATTTTACCGTCAGCGCTGCTTTTAAACAAGCCTGTTACATTTGTTAGAGTCATTTTAAATCACATCCAAAGCACAGAAAGAGTAGATGACGACCAAAGTTTGTACAGACTGTGATCATATTAGCACTATCCTTTTCTTCAGTGTGTGTTAGCTGAATGATCATCATCTTTTTCCGCTCTCAGAGAGGATGGCGTGTCGTATCTGGTTTCATCTTTTTTACACAGAGTGGCAACTTTGATTGAAATTTCCATTTCAAACATTTAACATTGTCCTTGTTTGTAACTGGACCCGAATGCCCCAAATAGTTGTTTGATACTGTAGGCCTGGTATTGAGCCATCAGTGGCCTCACTGTGTTGAAAAACAGGCCTCTTGCAGTCAGCATTCTTTGTGCATTCTCAGATGGGGTTTATAATG